TTTGCCCTAGACGATAGTTTAGTCTATAGTCCAGAATATAGTCTAGACTATAGTCCAAACTATAGTCTAGTCTATAGTCCAAACTATAGTCTAGTCTATAGTCCAGACTATAGTCTAGTCTATAGTGAGACTATAGTCCAGTCTAGTCTATCCAACTATAGTCTAGTCTATAGTCCAACTATAGTCTAGTCTATAGTCCAGACTATAGTCTAGTCTATTGTCCAGACTATAGTCTAGTCTATAGTCCAGACTATAGTCTAGTCTATAGTCCAGACTATAGTCTAGTCTATAGTCCAGACTATAGTCTAGTCTATAGTCCAGACTATAGTCTAGTCTATAGTCCAGACTATAGTCTAGTCTATAGTGAGACTATAGTCCAGTCTAGTCTAGTCCAGACTATAGTCTAGTCTATAGTCCAGACTATAGTCTAGTCTATAGTCCAGACTATAGTCTAGTCTATTGTCCAGACTATAGTCTAGTCTATTGTCCCGACTATAGTCTAGTCTATAGTCCAGACTATAGTCTAGTCTATAGTCCAGACTATAGTCTAGTCTATAGTCCAGACTATAGTCTAGTCTATAGTCCAGACTATAGTCTAGTCTATAGTCCAGACTATAGTCTAGTCTATAGTCCAGACTATAGTCTAGTCTATAGTCCAGACTATAGTCTAGTCTATAGTCCAGACTATAGTCTAATCTATAGTCCAGACTATAGTCTAGTCTATAGTCCAGACTATAGTCTAGTCTATAGTCCAGACTATAGTCTAGTCTATAGTCGAGACTATAGTATAATCTATAGTCCAGACTATAGTCTAGTCTATAGTCCAGACTATAGTCTAGTCTATAGTCCAGACTATAGTCTAGTCTATAGTCCAGACTATAGTCTAGTCTATAGTGAACTATAGTCCAGTCTAGTCTAGTCCAGACTATAGTCTAGTCTATAGTCCAGACTATAGTCTAGTCTATAGTCCAGACTATAGTCTAGTCTATTGTCCAGACTATAGTCAAGTCTATTGTCCAGACTAGAGTCTAGTCTATAGTCCAGACTATAGTCTAGTCTATAGTCCAGACTATAGTCTAGTTATAGTCCAGACTATAGTCTAGTCTATAGTCCAGACTATAGTCTAGTCTATAGTCCAGACTATAGTCTAGTCTATAGTCCAGACTATAGTCTAGTCTATAGTCCAGACTATAGTCTAGTCTATAGTCCAGACTATAGTCTAGTCTATAGTCCAGACTATAGTCTAGTCTATAGGTCCAGACTATAGTCTAGTCTATAGTCCAGACTATAGTCTAGTCTAGTCCATACTATAGTCTAGTCTAGTCCATACTATAGGCTAGTCTATAGTCCAGACTATAGTCTAGTCTATAGTCCAGACTATAGTCTAGTCTATAGTCCAGACTATAGTCTAGTCCTATAGTCCAGACTATAGTCTAGTCTATAGTCCAGACTATAGTCCCAGACTGTTAGTCTAGTCTATAGTCCAGACTGTAGTCCAGACTATAGTCTAGTCTATAGTCCAGACTGTAGTCTAAGTCCAGACTATAGTCTAATCTATAGTCCAGACTATAATCTAGTCTATAGTCCAGACTATATTCTAGTCTATAGTCCAAACTATATTCTAGTCTAGACTATATTCTAGTCTATAGTCCAGAAATATAGTCGAGGCTATAGTCCACAATATAGTGTAGTCTATAGTCCATAGTATAGTATGTATAGTCTAGTCTAGTATATAATCCAGTCTATAGTCTAGTCCAGTCTATAGTCTACTCTATAGTCCAGACTATAGTCTGGAAACAGGGCTCTGCTGCAATTATGTAAATCAATAAAGAAATGTTAAAAGTTCTTAAAACCCTCATCAAACTTACCGATTACAAACAACCGTGAATTCATCAAATGAAACTGATCATAAAGGGCGTTGCCAAACACGCGTGTCTTACTGCAAGTCATTAGAAAGCAATAGAAAAGTCAAATATCGCTGTAAACCAATGAACAATCAACAAATCTGCTAAATCTTCCGAGAGAACCCAACGAAAAGGACTCAATACCCAATGGCGGCTTAAGAAGACATTGCATAACCGGATAACCATTCAGCGGTAAGTTTTTTTAAACCCGCATACATATATAAAATAAAGAATTGAAATTTTATAATAAAATAATTCCAATAGGGTACAGTTGAGGGCATTTGGGGTTTTAGGTATTTATCTAAAGAACTAAAAAAGAAAAATAATTAATATATTAATTAAAATTATAATAAAATCTATAAACCCTACCAATAACGATTGGCCTGGGTAAACAATAACATAGTACCCACTAAGCCAAACAAATAACTATGATTATTCCAAGCCGGTTTATCTAATAAGAAAATATACCAATAGGGTACCACAAATAATAAACAGCTCAAACGAAACCGATAACCCAACATTATACCAATAGCGCCCAACCACATGCACAGATACACACAACCCATAATAGGGAAACTAAATGCTTGTATACCATCGAATAAAGGAAAATGGCAGTGTTTAGCTTCACCAAACGTACATCCATTTGACTGCCACCTCTTTCCTCAGCTATGTCTATTAACATGGCGGCTCCTAGGAAAAATAGGATAATTGTAAATTTCTTATTTTCTTGTAATTTAATCTATATCATTATTATTTTTTACATATAACATACGAAATACTCCTAAGGCAGCTGCATCTGCTGGACGATGTAGCCATTTGGTAAATTATTATAACTTGTGAAATGTTCCACATCATAGTCAGTACATGTTTTAAATAGTTGAGCAAATGTAGTCGTTTTTTGTGGTTTTATAGAGATTTTGAGTTGTTTCAGTTGTCTCGTTTTCCGCTGTTGAATGTTGCTGTTCTCTTGTTTCGTTCATTTCTTTATCTGGAAGAAAATATGTTTTTACAATTACTAATTAATAAAAGAAGTCCGTTTTGGACCGTTTTGTAATACCTTTTGACATATATTTATCACATAAGTGATTGAGTAATATGGAACATGGAATTATTGTAGATCTAAAAAAGTAATCGTTTTAGCCATAGTCTTCTGTCTATCTGCTAAAAATATGATAGGGACCAAATGGAAGATATAACTATAATACTCACAAATATTCTCAATTGATAAGGTTGAAAATTTGCAATATCGTTCCCCGATACAAATGTCCTTCAGGTATACGGTTTAAACAATCATAAATATGATTGATTGAAAATTTATTGAAAAAACGTAACTTTAGGTTAAGATATCTCAAAGAAGCAACAGGGAATAACATAGTATAATCCATTATACTGTTATTAAGATATAGATCAGACAACATGACATTTAATTGACAAATTCGGAGATTAGAATCGGATTCAGCGCAGATCAAATATTCAGATATCTATAGCCTAGCCTGTGTTATGCAGCAATCATAATTAAATAAATCTTGCAGAATAATTATGTAGCAAGATATCTATTGTAAAGTATGGCGAAAATTGGATCACATTTGAGTCCCCATATAAGGCCTCCTTTAGAATATGACTTTAGCGGTGAAATTCTACACAAGTTGTAAAAGAAACAAAACATGTCTAAATCTTCTAATCGTATAATCGAAATCGAAACGAAATCTTTATTCCCAACAAATCTTTTAAAAATTGTTATGTTATTACTATAAATACGACAAATATGATTTATTCAAAGAAATTAATCACATTCTCAAATTCTGTAGAGTTTGGTCCACAATTTACCGAAGCTCCCATAAACGACTCCATTCTATCAATGTGAGTAAATTGTGTTCTTAAATTCCTAAAGGAACCAACTTTCAAAGAATTGATATAGCGGAATGAAACTGTTTAATATTCATTTGGTCCACAATTTACCGAAGCTCCCATAAACGACTCCATTCTATCAATGTGAGTAAATTGTGTTATTAAATTCCTAAAGTAACCAACTTTCAAAGAATTGATATAGCGGAATGAAACTGTTTAATATTCATAATCGCCTGGCTGAGTTTTAAATACCATTGACGAAAGGGCGGCAAAAAAAAACTCGGAACTCAAATTGTTACCGCGTATGTCAGATCGTATCTAAAAATTCTTCCAAAATGCCCTATTCATTTATGGAAAAGAACCTCTATTGACCCTTGATAGAAATTCATTAACTCTTCTTATAGGCATACTTACTAGGCGTTGTATAATTGGATGCATGTGTCAGATGATATGGATTACTCACATAACAGTTTGTTTCACCAACTAATTTACTAAAATTTCTGAGAAGCATTGGATGATTCTTTCTGGGACCATAGGAATTAAAAGCTGCCAAATATTAGGAGGAGTAAATTTAATGGTATCGCAATGGGACAAATGCTCGCTAAATCGGGAGTTTCCCATATAATTTAACTTGTAATGAGATTATTATACCCTTCACCTTCGTGAGAAGAGTATATATAAGTGTCTCATTCCGTAGCGTAGTCGATTAAGCTATGCCTGTCTGTCTGACATACATGATGAAGTGTATTTAAGATTCGTCACAGCCGAATATAGAACTCTTATTTGTTTTATCTTTAACAATTTCACTGAATTATGAATTAGTTTCCTTAGTCCGGATAGGCAACTGATTCAATGGGAAAAAACCCCTAGAAAAGTACTGAAATTGATACAATCCGTTGTCAAAAGTGAGCTTAACTCGTTTGTTAACATTTAGACAACGGATGTGTATAAAATTTAAATAAGACCCAGTTATAATTTTAACAACCACCGTTGTAATTTTTGCAACGCATCGTTGTTATTGCAACAACGCATTGTTGTCATTTCGTTTACGCTTTGTGTCAGTTCGTTTACGTTGACAATGCAACGTTCTGTTTGACAACATTGCGTTGTCAGTTTGGTACACATTATGATTTCTTTGTTGATTTGAGAACGTCGTATTTTTTTTATATTCTTCATGTTGCTTTGACAACTATCCATACATATTTTGACAACGGATGTTATTGAACAATTTTAAACTTCTTGGTATCATAATTTTAAAACGATTTTTTTCCCTCTGTGTACAAAATTAAGTTAATATATATAATACCATATTCGAACCGTCTAATTTAAACTGTCTAATCTATGGATTAGTCCATAGTGTATTGAGTATATTTTAGACTATTCTTTTGAGAAGTATTAACTAGATATACTCTATTGTCTCGTATATGGATTAGTTTATTTAACAGTATATTTACTAGTCTATGGACTAGTATAGTCAATTGACTAGGGTATTGACTAGTTCATAGACCAACAAACTGTTATATGGACTGGTATGTTTCATATGTTTCAACTAGTCAAAGACTAAATTATTGACTAGTATATGGATTAATCTATGGACTAGTCTTTGACTAGTGTATTCACTAGTTCTAGACCAGGCAACTAGTATATCAACTATTCAATGGACTAGTCCGTCTACTAGGCTATTGACTAGTATGTGAACAAGTCTAAGGACTAGTTTATAGTCTAATCTATGGAGTAGTCTATGCGCTAGTCTACGAACTAGTATATGGGGTAATCTACGGACTACTCTTTGACTCATATATTCTCTAGTCCATAGTCCAGGCAACTAGCATATGGACTACTCTATGGAATAGTCCGTCTACGTATAAAACTATGAACTAGTCTAAGGATTAATCTACGTACTAGTCTAAGGATTTCTCTATGGACTAGTCAATAGACTATATTGTATGTACTAATCTGCGACTATTGATTAGTCTACTAGTTCATGGACTACTTAGCAAAAGTTTATAATATAAACAAGTAAGATATTATAGTCGGGGCGAGGCCGACCATATAATACCCTACACCTTTGACAAAAATATAATGTGATTTAGTTGCCATAATAAAGCATTTAAGTTGAATTGTACCTTGCCTTAGATATACATACTTAAGCCGTTTATTGTTGAATAAAATTGTGGACATTTAAGTGAAATTTTGATGGAGGCTTTTCATAGGGGTTAGGGTCATATGAGAACCTATTATTATGGAATTCGTGGGGGTCATCAAGTCTTGTATACAACTTGGTTATTGCAGCTTTTTGTCGAGATATGACTATATTAAACATAATTATGAACTTAAAAGCCCTATTCGGCGGGTTCAGTTGTATGGGGGCTAGGTGAAATAATAGACCGATGTAAACCATTTTCAACAGGCTTCATCTACGGTACCATAAAAGATCATGTGCCGAATTTCATTGAATTATCTCTAAAATTGCGACCTGTAGTTTGATTACAAGTTTTAAAAGCCCTATTCGGAGGTTCAGTTGTATGGGGTTTAGGTGAAATAATGGCCCGATGTTAACCATTTTCAATAGGCTTCATCTACGGTACCATAAAAGATCATGTGCCAAATTTCATTGAATTATCTCCAAAATTGCGACCTGTAGTTTGATTACAAGGTTTACATGGACGGACGGACGGACATAGCTAAATCGACTCAGAAAATGATTCTGAGCCGATTGGTATACTTTAAGGTGGGTATAGGACCAATATTATTGTGCGTTACAAACATCAGCACAAACCCAATATACCCTCCCCACTAAAGTGGTGTAGGGTATAAAAAGTACTTAATATGTTGTGCCAAAACTCGTGCTTGATCGACTAGGCTTTCTTACGAGGAAGCCACTCTTGGGAGGTGGTGTTTGGAATTGAAACATGAAAACATACTTCCGGTGTCTATATACTAATAAAGACCGATCTCCTTCATAAAAGACTGAAATATTTTGTATATTCTTTCCATTTATCGAATAAGAATCCTTTTTAAATAATACTCGTAACAACCATTTTCTTTTTTTGTGTTTTTTTTTTCTTTTTTCAAATTTATTTTTCTCAGTTTTAAAAATTTGATATAAATACATGCATGCATAATATTGTTGTTGTTGTTTTTGTTGTATACTAAATACGTAAATTGTTTTGTGAATGTTTGTTTTTTGTTTTGTTTGTTATTGTTGTTGTATATTATTTTGTTTAATAAATTACGATTTTATTTTTGTTTAAAAAAATATTAAGATTTTACTTGATAATGATTCATTTTCATTTCATTTCATTTCTATTGGCATTTAAACAGATCGAGTTTTTTTTACAATAACTTTAAAATAATTGAATTGAAAAATCTTTAGTTTTTTCTACAATCGTTTAGGTTATTGTAAAAAAAGGACACGTGTTGCTGTAGGGCCAAGTTTAATAAAACATTTGATGTTAGAAATTCATTTAAGTTGTTTTAAGATTTTTAAATAGGTTTTTTTATATATTAGTTTAATAATTTGTTTTAATGAATATTGAAAAATTTCTAAAAATTTTTACGACAAGCTTTATTATTTTTAAAGAAATTGCCTTCAAAAAACTACAGTTAATACATATTTTTTTTTTGAATAAGTTTTTAAAAATGTTGGTTTTTTGTCTTTCTAATATTTATGTTTTTTTTGTTAATTTTAATTAATAATTTTTTTTTTTATTTTGAAGAATATTTTTTTAAGTTGAGTTGTTGGAAATGAAAGAAATTTTTTTTTTTTAATAAAATTGTAGTGAATAAATAAGTTTTATTTTATTTGGTTTGTTATGTTTTTAAATAAATAGAAATTTAAAAATTTTCTTAAAGAGGAATGTTTGTTTGGTTTAGAGAAAAAGTATTTAAATTGTAAAATTAAAGTATAAAATTAAATTTATTTAATTTTCTTTTTTTTCTGGCTTTTTTTTTTAAATAATTAAAGTGTTTTATTTTTAAAAAGGGGGAATATACTTAAAGTTAATCTTTGGAAATATTTTAAAATACATACATACAATTAAATATATATATATATATATATATATATAGTATTTCTATGCTTTTACTTCTTGTTGTTGTTGTGTAGTACTTTCTAAATTGTTGTTATTTAGTTTTTGAAAATTTAATAATTTAATTGTTGTTTTGTTTTAAGTTTTTTAAATATGTATTTATGTTTGTTTTACTGTTAAATTACGACAAATATAATTATTATGCAAATTTCTAATACTTTGGGTTTTTGTTTTCATATTATTTTTGAATAGAATAGTATTTGTTTTTGTTTTTGTTTCATAAATGTCTAAAATATTTTAAAAGTATATATTTAATGTATTACCATGTTTCAATATTTATTTTTATTAAGCTTTTAAATTGTGTTTGGAAAAAAATCTTGATTTTTTCAAGCAAAATTTGTTCTCTTTTTTTGTCTCATCTAACATTTTTTCAATTGCAAATTTGTTTTTAATTCTTGAGAATTATTGAAAAAAAAAAAAAAATTGTATTTGATTTTTAAATCATTCCTTACAAAAAAAGAAATCTTCTATGTTCTACAACGCCTTTGAATGAATCAATGAAAAAATTTTATTAAAAAAAATATTTAATGAAAAACAAAAAGTTCTCGAAAATTGATGATAATTTTCAAAATTGAAAGGTGTTTGCTAAATATTAAGTTGTTTCTGTTGTTGTTGTTTTTTTCGGTATAACTTATACATATAGTTAGAACCCCATACCCAGCTGTGTTGGTCTTTGTGGTGTGAATACGCTCGCTCTCGTTTTTGTGTCGTTCTCTCAAATTCTCTTAAAACTCCTACAATTGGCAAACACCCTCAGTTTTTGGTTCCACAAAAAAAAAAGAAAGTTGAAAACAACACCCCTTTGTTTTATTACAAAAGGGGGAGGGGAGGTTTGCGTTTTCCTCTCTCTTTTTCTTACTCTCTCTCTCTTTTTCATCAACTTAAGCTCTTTTTGTCTTCATTGGTGGTGGCGTGCATACATATGTTTTTCTTTACCAGTTTCTTTTTTTTTCCCCTTTAAATGCGATTTTGATTTAATTGGGAACGTGGGGTAAATGGTGAGACCATTACACCACTGGGCCAAATAGCCTCGTTGAACAGCTCGTTGAAGCGATAGTCCGGTATGGAAATCTTAAATTTACAATAAGACAATGCAGCCAAATTGGCATCGTTCTTCACCAGTTTAGTGCATTTAACAAGATTCTTATTAATCTTTAACTCCTCAGCCAAATGTTCGATAATGTCATCCTCTGAGGTAGAGGTGGCAAATTTGCCCACTTGCACCCAGCGTCCATAATCACAGACGACTTGCAAACGATCCGAATTGCAATTATTGCCGACAACTATAAGACTGTTGGTCTGTTTTTTAACTTCGTTGGCATTGTTGGCATTACCGAACTGGAAGTATTGCTGATACATGCGTCCCTGTATCTGGTTGACACCGTTTACAACCTTATTAAGTTTATCCTCCATGGCGTGTATCTTGGCTGCCATGGCTTTGGGCGATTGCTGGCGACACTCATCGCAGCTGAACGAGATCATGGGATTCTTTTGTATGGCCTCGTAAAGGGCGTCATCGATGTTCACACAGCTGCGATGATATTTTTTCTGGCAGTTACAGCTGATACTGGCCTCCTTGGAGTTGATTGATTTTTTACACTTAAAACAATTGTCAGCCATTTTTGTACGTTTGTTTGTACCGGACGTCTTCGGTGTGGTACTCTTAGGGGCTGCTGTTGCTGCTGCTGCTGCTGTCGCTGGCTCTGCCGGTGATTCCACTGGTGGTGCTAACTGAGCGTCCGTAGAGTTTTCTGCCTTTGGGGATTCCACTTTTAAAGATTTTACAACTCACAAAGGAGTAAAGCCGACGTAAAAGAAATTCCAAAAATGTATTAATTAACACCCAATATAATAATGTCCGGACAAAGAAAAAAAACCCAAGTTTTCTTTCTTCTCTGCAGTAGTATTCAAATTAAAACACCTCTTTTTCTCGTTAGAAAAGTTCAAAATTCACAGACACTTACTTACATACACACACACACACATAGAGAAAACACTTATGTATGTATAGTATAATTGCACAAAATTTGTTATGTATGTATTGTCACTGGATACATACACAATGTACGAAGTTTTAGTGTTTTTTTTTAGTTAACTTTTTTTTTTTTGTTGTATTCTTTATTCAAAACGTCTAAATTTAGGGTGTTATGAAATGAGAAGTGAGGGAGAATTTATTTAAAATTATTTAAAGAAAAATTTGCCGCTTCCGCCAAACTATATTTATTTGGTCCGTACGCTCCGAATGCCGCTGTTCAACTGTGGTAAAAACTCATTTGATTTTAACCGGCTGTTACCTTTTGTGCTAAATGTCAGTAAAACTACCCTTAATACGGCAAAAATATGCTCTTTTTTCTTCTTCTTCTTCTTCTTATTTTATATTGTGGATATATATGTAAGTTATTTGGGCTATCCGGTTTGAGGGGTTGTTTTTTTAGGTTTTAGACATTTACATACTCTCGTACATAGAGTCATGTATGCATACATAAAATTGATTCAGTTAGTAACCACTTTTTATATATTAATTACGGTAAACTCTTGGAAAATTGAATGTTGAGGTTAAACTGTTGTATTTAAAGTATTAAATTTTACCGGCATTGATTAATGAAATTAATATTGAACTTAGTTTTTTAAATCCTAAAATTCAGATATTCCACGATAACATTAACCCAGAGATCAAGGTATACTTTTCAGCGCTATCACATCAGTTTTTTATGGTATTGTGAGCGAAATATTTAAAAAACACAGAATTTCTCTATCACATCAGTTTTTGAAGATATTGTGTCCTAAAGATTTAAAAAACCTCTTCTTCCTTCTTGAAGGTATCTTAACCTAAGGCGTTTTGCCATAAAATAAAGACAATTTTGATTTTTATTTGAATTAAAGGTAGTTCTAACTTTTGGGTTAGACTATCTCGAAGAAATAAGAAGATATAACAGTTAAAGCTTCATTTTGAAGTCGATCAATTGGACTTCCAGATGATATAATATTCTTTATATATAAAAGTGCTTTCGTGTTGTTATATTGTCTCAAATATGTCAAAAATCGGGGAGTTTCAAATTATAGGATACGATATCTGAAAAACCTGACGTAATGGAGAAAATATGTATGATGTCAGATTGGGATTCAGAGCAGTTTAACCCTTTTGAAATGTGATATACAAAATATGATGCCAGATTCGGATTTAGAGCAGTTTAATCCTTTTTTAAATGAATATCTTGGTCCCTGGGTTTTGATTTTTTAAAAATGTTTGTTATGCTGTGTAATCTACACAGAAAGCGGACCTGAGTCTGCTATGATTTTTTCCCCTCTTTCTGGCAACATATGGACTCAGTGCCATAAGAACTGCTGATCTTTTGAGGCCAAGAACTATTCAAACCGATTTTTGGATGTTTAATTATGTTTAATTTATCGCCCCAGGGAGAGAGAGATATAGAGGGCGGGGTAAGGCTTGGCCTATACTGCATTCCGATCACTTCTTCTTTCTAAATAATTATTTAGAAAGAGTGTTGCCATATTGGAATATTAATATATATTGAACGTTCTTCGGCCACAGCTCGTTTCAAAATGAATCAGTTCATTCGGTACAGGTCTTCTGTGATGCCGCGATACCCTGATTCCACTAAATACAGAACATTACTTTGGCTCAATGAATATTTCACTTTGGTTTCGATTCAGCTGGGTCTTCTATGGCCTTTTTCCATCTTTCTGACAATATATGGATTGGATACCATAAGCATTGCTCATCTTTTGAGTCTAAGAACGTATTAAGCCGATTTTGGTATGTTCAATCCTGTAGTTAAGAGTATCTCAGAGAGAGAGAGAGCGGGGTAAGGCCTGACCTATGCTGCATTTAAGACACTTCCCGATTACTTCTTTCTAAATACTTATTTTAACATGTGCCCGAGCGTTGTCATGATGGAATATTAAGCTTTCATATATTGAGCGTTCTTCGGCCACTACTCGTTTCAAAATGAATCAGTTCATTCGGTAGAGGTCTTCTGTGATACCCCGGCTAGGTTTCATAATAGGTAGTACCCTTTTGGTGGGGTCTGCTGTGACCCAATCCTGTAGTTAAGAGTATCTCAGAGAGAGAGAGAGAGCGGGGTAAGGCCTGACCTATACTGCATTTAAGGCACTTTCCGATTACTTCTTTCTAAATACTTATTTTAACATGTGCCCGAGCGTTGTCATGATGGAATATTAAGCTTTCATATATTGAGCGTTCTTCGGCCACTGCTCGTTTCAAAATGAATTAGTTCATTCGGTAGAGGTCTTCTGTGATACCCCGGCTAGGTTTCATAATAGATAGTACCCTTTTGGTGGGGTCTGCTGTTGCCTTTTCCCGTCTTTCTGACAACATATGGATTCGGTGCCATAAGCATTGCTCATCTTTTGAGGCTAAGAACGAATCAAGCCGATTTTGGGATGTTCAATCCTGAAGTTAAGAGGAGACAGAGCGAGAGAGAGAGAGAGGGCGGGGTAAAGCCTGCATTTAAGACACATCCCGATCACTTCTTCTTTCTAAATAATTAGTTTTAACAGGTTTCATAATAGATAAGGGTACTATCTCTATCTAGTTTCTCTAAATAAAGAACATTACTTTAGTTCAATGAATTTGGTTTCGATTCGGCTGGTTGGTCGAATCTCTTATTCTTCGGGTTATCATAATGGATCCATTTTTTTATCCAAGTAATGATTCGGTGCAAAAGTGATTTCCTTTTATAGTTTAGAAGCACTGCAAAATCGTTTTCGAAAATTTCCCGAATTCAATTCGTATGGTATTATCTTCCTCTCTGCATTTGGATGAATCCTGCCGATCGTTTTGAAATTGTTGATATATAAGTTACTAAAGAGAAGAATCGCGAGTATATTATAACACATCTGTCGCGAATTCTGAATCCTATGTGTATTTTGTGAAAATATTCCTGTTAGTTCCAAAATTCCAAAATGGCTGTCTGATACTCAAGTGAATTAGTGAAGGGAAATAAATTCACTTAAAATATTTGTATATTTAGAGAATAGGACTCGTATTAATTTTCACTAGATTTGACGGTATAATTACAAGATATCTTCTATCAAAATTAACAGATTCCACAATGGTTAACGGGGTCATAACAATGGTTAACGGGAGGTTTAAATTAACTGATTTCAACAAAAAAGCCGAAGACAATTAAAGCGACTCTGAAAATGTTTTTGAACCGATACATACTTTGGGACTTATCCTTTCAGGGTAACAATCCAAACTTTAGTATTTTTCATGAATTTCTTTTTAACAAGTTTCCACTGTTTAAACAACATATTCACGAATATATTTCTCTTTTAAATTTTATACCCTTTCTTATAATATTTTCATTTCATTCTCTTAATTCGCATAACTAATGAATTGAACGATTTTTTGTTTATATATAGACGACTATAACAAGAATTGTAACCAAACTGAGATAGAGAGGGTTGCAACTTGCAAGTGTATTTAATTTTCGTTATTCGGTTACTTTAGTAAACTAAAGTTTATTATCGCTGTTTCTTTTTTATTGCGTTTGTTCCAATAAAAGGTGGTTCATGATAAATAGATAAATTTACGAACATACACACTCACACACTTAATGTTGTTATAATTGAAATGTTTTTGAAAATAGCAAAATTTAGTTAAAATTCAAGTTTTGTTAGACTTTTCTACCACCCAATCAACCATTTACCACCCCCCAAAAAATAAATTGTAATCTCTTAAGGTTTTCAAAATTTGTTTAAATGATGAAAAGGGAAACAAAACAAAATAGATTTTGAGGGTTGCTATACCAGACTAGTCAGCGGTGTTAAGTAATATTTTATCTTTATTTACAGGGGGTAATAAAAGTTTTCTGACAATTTGTAAAATTTTACAGGAATTTTTTATAAAGTATTGTTGAAAGGAAACATTTCGAAAACTTTCTATAAAAAAAAAGACAAAGAGAAAAATTTCTGAAAAAAGACACATTTTGAAAAATGTTTTTTAAAAAAAAAAATCGATATTTTAGGAAATACTCAAAAAATAGAGGAATTTTCGATAATTTTTTTTAAATAGTAATTTTTGAAAATTATTTTTTTTTAATATAAATTTTTGGAAAATTTCTATAAAAACTTATTTCAAGATAATTAGATGACATTTGGCACAAGCTCTTCTTTTGACCCAAGGACTAATGAAAATGGTTAAAATCAGTCCATTATTTCGTATAGCCCCCATACAATCGTAGCCCCGAATAGGGCTTTAGAAAATTTTATATAAAAAAAACTCAAATTTTCGATTAATTTCTATTAAATGGCAGACATTTTTTTTTTAAATTTTCTATAGGAAATAAGTAATTTTCAAAAAAAATTCTATAAAAAAAAGATAAATTTTTGAACTTTTTTAAAAAGGAAAAAATTAAATTTTTACAAAAAAGAAAAATTTTCGGAAACTTTCTATAAAAAAAGGAGAAAAAAGAAGAATTTTTTTATAAGAAAGAGACATTTTCGAATATAAAAAGTGAAATTTTCGAAAATTTTCTTAAAAAAACTGGAATTTTCGAAAAATTTTTATAGAAAAACAATTTCGGAAATTTTTTATAAAAAAACAATTTCGGAAATTTTTTATAAAAAAGGAGATATTTTCTATAAAAGAAATTTTTGAAAATTTTCTATAAAAAGAAATTTTCGAAAATTTTCTATAAAAATAAATTTTCGAAATTTTTCTATAAAAAGAAATTTTTGAAATTTTTGTATAAAAAGAAATTTTCGAAAATTTTGTATAAAAAGAAATTTTCGAAAATTTTCTATAAAAAGAAATTTTCGAAAATTTTCTATAAAAAGAAATTTTCGAAAATTTTCTATAAAAAGAAATTTTCGAAAATTTTCTATAAAAGAAATTTTCGAAAATTTTCTATAAAAAGAAATTTTCGAAAATTTTCTACAAAAAGAAATTTTCGAAAATTTTCTACATAAAAAAAATTTCGAAAATTTTCTATAAAAAGAAATTTTCGAAAATTTTCTATAAAAAGAAATTTTCGAAAATTTTCTATAAGGACTTCTATAAAAAGAAATTTTCGAAAGTTTTCTATAAAAAGAAATTTTCGAAAAAATTCTATAAAAAAGAGAAATTTTAAAAAATTATTAAAAAGAGAAAATTTTTGTAAAAAAAGTACAAAAGGAGAAAATTTCGAACACGTTTTATAGAAATGTAGAAAATTTCGAACATTTTTTATATAAATATGTATGTAGAATTTTATAATTTAAATTTTTAAATTTTCAATAAAAATGGAGAA